TCCCGAGTGGGCAATTTTCCCGTCAAAAATTTTACTTGCTCATAAATGAGTATCATGCACACACGGGTGCAGAATTTGAAATCCTTAGTTGTACTTAAAAAGAGAACATCCTCTCAAAATTTCAGCCACCCAGCTTTTCTGGGTCTCGAATTAGCAGTTTTTCAGCCAGAACTTTCACTTGCTCACACGCGGGGCCCAGGGGTTCGTAAAGTTGTTGCCGCGGCCCTGAAGTGGCAGCTGAGACTACTGGTAAAATTTAGCGCCGGAGCCTGTTTGATCGCCGAAATGAAATACCCACATACACATACATAAATACATAAACACACGCACAAACATACACACACGTACACCACGGACGTACAGCTCCATGAAGTTTTTTTGGCGGGGAAATAGCTAACTCGGGAACTAGCAAAGCTGGGAGGCTGAAATTTTCAGGGGATGTTCTCAGCTCATATATGACTTAAAATTATCAAATTCAGCCCCCAGGCATGCGCGATTCTCGCGTATGGGTAACTAAATTTTAGGCGGGAAAATTACTCATTGAACAGTTCAGTTATTATGCGTTTTTGCCTATATGCAAATTGCAAAAACGCATATTGAGACGACCCCGTCTGTGTGTGTGTGTATGTGTGTATGAGTGTGTGTATGTTTGTGTGTGTGTGTGCGTGTTCGTCTGTCCGGGTATTTCAACTCGGCAATCAAGCAAGTTCCAGCGCCGAGATTTTGCTAATGGGTACCCCGGCCAAGTACCACCCGAGAATCGCGGTACTATCCCTCACGCACGCCTGGGCCCCGCGTACGAGGGGGGGGGGGAAGTTTTGGCGGGAAAATTGATAACTCGGGAACGCGAAAAGATGGGAAGCTGAAATTTTGGGGTTACATTCCCCGTCCAAATATAACACAAAGATTTCAAATTCAGCCTCCGGGTACGCGTGGTTCCCGCGTACGACCCCGTGAGATTTCTCGACGGGGAAATGGCTAATTCGGGAACTAGCAAAGCTGGGAAGCTGAAATTTTCAGGGAATGTTC